TTGAGGCTGGCCCTTGAGATGCAGGTGGCCGCAATACACGTCCTCACCGACTCGCAGCTCGTGGCCGAACAGCTCAGCGGAGGATACGAAGCTCGGGACGCAACCATGGCAAAATACCTGGCGCGAGTAAAGGACCTAACCGCCAAGTTCCCTTACTTTACGTTATCTAACATTCCGAGGGAGGAGAACGCGCGAGCCAACGCGCTAGCTAAGCTCGCGTCAAAGCCGACCTCCGAAGCGTGGCCAGAAGTTGAGGAGCTCCCTGCTCGCGCCATTGAAGTGGCGGTCGCCGCCCCAGGCAGTGCGCCGATCACATGGGTACAGGAGCTGCTACGCTTCAAGAAGGATGGCACCCTTCCCCTCGACGAGGTAGCGGCTCAGCGCCTGCGCCGTACACATGCGTGGTACACCGAGGAGAGCGGGCGGCTTTACAGACGGCCCTTCGCCTACCCCCTCCTGCGGTGCTTGGAGCCTGACGAAGCACAGACGGTCCTGGCCGAAACCCACGAAGGGGTTTGCGGCGAACACATTGGCGGACGGACCTTGGCACACAAAATACTCCGCCAAGGCTACTACTGGCCAACCATGTGCCGGGACGAGAAGGTTTACGTACAGCGGTGCGATTCATGCCAACGACACGCCCGTGCACCCCGGCAGCCTGCGGTCCCGCTCAGCCCCATCGATTGTGCGTGGCCATTCGCGCAGTGGGGCATGGACCTACTCGGACCCTTCCCGCCGGCTTCAGGACAGCGGAAGTACATAATCGTAGGAGTGGACTACTTCACAAAGTGGGTCGAGGCCGAGCCACTAGCGACAATCACGGAACATCAGGTGGAGAAGTTCGTGTGGAAAAACCTCGTGACTCGGTTCGGGTTACCCAAAGCCATTATCACGGACGACGGACCCCAATTCGCCAGCCGAAGATTCCGGGAGTTCTGTGTAGGTCATGGCATCCAACTAAGGTTCAGCTCGGTGGCCCACCCTCAGACGAACGGGCTCGCGGAGGTAACCAACCGATCCATCTTGGACGGACTCAAAAGAAGGGTGTCCGCAGCCCGATCGGTCTGGGCGGACGAGCTCCCCAGCGTACTCTGGTCGCTGCGCACCACTCCCAAGGCCGCGACCGGAGAGTCCCCGTACAGTCTGACGTTCGGGACCGAGGCTGTCTTACCACCCGAAATGGCTGTCGCCACCCTTCGGACAAGGAGCTACGACGAGGAAGTCTCGAACGAGGGACTCCGTGCCAGCCTCGACGTGCTAGAAGAGCGACGCGCCGATGCGCACCTAAAAGCCCTCTCTTACCAGAGAGCCGTCGCGAGGGTCTACAACAAGAAGGTACGCCCCCGACCGATCAAGCTAGGCGACCTGGTCCTGCGAAAAGCCGAGGTCAGTGACCCGGCCCGAGTGAGGGGGAAGCTAGCCCCCAAATGGGAAGGACCTTATCGGACGGCTCTCCCTTGCCGAGAACCTGGAACATCTGGAACCTCAAGAAGTTCTTCGTCTGAAGTAAAGAAACCTTTCTCGAAGGAAGCGTTTCGCCCGAAAGGGAAGAAGGCAGTGGTCGGGAAAAGCAAAAAGCTTCCTGTAGTACAGAAAGCAGGCCCACTTACAAGGCTCGTCTTGCAAATAATCAAGAAGCTTTTTTCGCAAACGAAGGAACCTTTTTAGAAGAAGGAGGAAACAAAACGAAAGGGATCTTTCCTTTTATTGAAGAAAGCAAGACTTACAGGACCCGACTTACAAAAACAGACCGGCAAAAACAAAAAACAAGGCCCCCTTTTCCCCACCAGGAGGCTCAAGGCTCCTCCAGGCGGTCATCGAAGGGGACTTCCTCGGGCATATCGACCCCTTGGTCCTCGGGATGACGAGCGAAGGGATTCTCCTCCACCTCGAGGCCAGGGTGGCGAGCGCGGAAGCGGGAAGTGGCGATTCAGTATCCATACTCAAAGGATACCCGTCCCGTCCGCGTCAACCCAAGCTCGAACCCCTCCGACCTCTTATACGCCTCGAGGAGCTCCTTGTCTTTTGCGGGGCGAAGTCGGGACTCCTCCGCCAATGCCTCCGAGGCCACCCTGGCTTTAGCTTTTGCCTCCTCCAGCTCTTTACCGAGGGTGCTCACCGCGGCCTTCAACAAACGGAGCTCGGTCCGCTCCACCCTCATCGCCTTTTGTAGCCCCTCGTTCGCCCTTTTGGAGGCCTCGAGCTCCGACCGAAGGCGCATGACCTCCGCCTCAAAATCCGCCGCCCGCTACTCGGCAGCAGCCATGGCCTCCGGACCAGCTCCGGCCCGGACCTCCTCAACCTAGCAGTGGAGCTCGACGTTGTGGTTGATAAGGACCCCGATGATGCGGCCGCCGTCACGCACCCTGTCCATGAGGGCCGTCGCATAATGAAGCACCTGCGATTGGGAAGGGGCGGGTTAAAGGGGGACGGCACTAGGCAAGCAAGACTAGCCAAAACAAAAGGTGAAGCGCTTACCCAGATCAAAGACTGGGCGGATTTGTTGAGTAACGCCTCCGAGGGTAGCACATACAAATCCCGAGCCATATCAGGATGAAGCGCGCCTCGGAGGAACGTCGTGGTGGGGTCCCCTCCGGCCCACACCCTGTCCCCCCGGGACAAACCATTCCAGCGAGCGACTAGGGGGTCACTAGGCCTCCCGGGCGGAGCCTCCCCCACCAGGCGAGTCAGGAACGGCTCCCCGTCCCCGGCCAGTAGCCGGCACAAGTCGCGCACGGAGGTCGGCCGCGGATCCTTCCCAGCTGCACGGCGGCTAGGACCAGCCTCACCCCGACGGATGCCTTCCTCGGCCCCCTTTGAGGGCGTCGCCTTCGCCCTCTTCCGAGGGCGCCCGGCCTCGACCTCCAGAGGCGCGTCCTCAGTGCCGAGCTGCAAGTCGCCCGGCGACGCTGGAAGAGTAGCCGGCGGATCGGCCGGAAGTACAGGAGGTGGGACCTGCGGCGTGTCGTCTCCAAGGAGTGACCGGAGCTTCACCATTTCTGCAAAAAGATCAAAAAAGCGTCAGCAGCAAGGAAGAACCACATGAACACCCGAACCAAACAACAACCGACGTACCCGGAGGCATCGGGATAAGGCCCGCCTCGACCAGCCACCCTTCGGTCATGTTCCGGAGGGCCTGTGACCTGGGGAGAATCTCCCTGAGCCGCCCCAGGTCGAGGTGCTCTGCTTCGCCCAAACATGGGGTGGTGTTGTCGATCGCCCTCGCATACCAACGAACTCCGAATCCCCAGTCTTGCTCACGGCTGACGTAAAAGAATCTCCCCTTCCACCCTTTATTGTTAGAAGGGGCCCCCCAACTCGGAAGCCCTTTCGGGCGGACAAAAAATAACCCCCCGAACCCTTGGTAAGGTGATAACAGGAGAGGAAAAGATGGAGGGAGGGGGCGATATTGGCATAGTGGCATTCCCCCAAGAACACCACCAGGTAACGCTAGGAGTTCGGCGCCACCTGGGATGGCGAAATCCGCCAGAAAGACAAACAGGACACAATAAGGGGGTGCAGAGGGAAACGCAGACCCGCCTCCAGGGCATCCAGAGTTAAGGCGAAGCCCTTCGGGACGGGGTCATACGCCCGTTGTCCCGGCTCAGGCGCACCAAGAACGTAGTCCCCCGGGATGCCATAGCGCTCCCGGAGTCCGACCAGCAACGACTCACTCACAGAAGAGTCCTGATCGTGTGGCCACATCAAGGCCTCGAGGGCCCGTGCGACCTCCCCGTCGGAAGACTCAACGAGGGGCGGAGGAGGGCTTCCCCCCCTAACCCCGCAGGAATGGACAGAAGAGGAGGAGGGAGAGGAAACCATCCTGACTGACCTTAACTGGGAGGGTGCTACGGGAAAGTAGAGCAACGCTGGAGGCGAAGAGGACGACCGGAAGAAGGACGGCAAGACCGGAAGAAAAAAAACTCAGCGATGAGAGACGGTGGGGAAGACAGGCGCCCGCTATTTGAAGGGAACATCCCGCCGGATCCAGCGCCCCTTCGCCTCCCAAGAAGTGGGCGGCAGCCCACCCACGCTCACACGTAACCGTCGCGTCGCATCGGAAAATACCCAAAAGCGCTCCGCCTTAATGAAGGCCTGATGTGGCGGCCCCGTCAAAAGCAGCAACGGACGCCTCGAGTCCGGCACCCTAAGACGTGGGGCGGAGGCAATCAACTCCCCCTTAGAGAAAAAATCAAACGCGCGTGCTCCTCGGCCCTCGGCTGCACGCCCCCCCGAGACCACACCTGCGCGGTAACCCGCCTGCGTCGTGCTCCTCGGCCCTCGGCTGCACGCCCCCCCGAGACCACACCTGCGCGGTAACCCGCCTGTGTCGTGCTCCTCGGCCCTCGGCTGCACGCCCCCC